TGCTAACGTTTGAAACGGAATCCCAGGCAAGTGTGCTCAGGTACTTCCCAGACGGCACGCTCATCCGAGGACGGTGCGAACTGAACCAACGTGTCCTCGGCTCTGTGTCTCCTCGTTTCCACCTTTGTCCACCGGCTGTGACCACGCCTGTGACAGGCAAAGCGTGCCAATCGCCCCCAACACCCTCAGAGCTGGCGTAGACACCGAAGTCTGACCGTGGGGACTCTGGAGTTCGGCTCCCTATCCTCTATTCCAAGCCAAGCCGAAGGCGTCCCGAAAGGAGGAAGAATACCTCAAAACACGGGAGCTCTGCTCGTGAGCTGGCCCTCGTGGTGGCTAAGAGTAGCCACGCCACGTTCCGGCGTGTTCCGTCAGCGCCGTGTCTCACTCGGGCCGACACGTTTGGAGATAGAGACTCTGTGACACCAGGCTGCTTTCACAGCACCTGCAGCAAACTGTGGCCCAGGTACTCTGGGGACCGTCCACGGTGCGGCGCGGGGTCAGACACCCCTCCAGGGCGCTGGCCTGGCTCACACCAGGTGCTGGCTTCCCCAGGGCCCCCGGACGGAGCGCAGGGCAGCCGGAGTTGGGGGCATAGGCGCACAGCCCCGGGGGATGGCAGCAATGTGCGGCCCTGTCTCCCCTCCTGTCCCCTCCCCAGAGCCACGGCGGTCACAACCCGCACCCTGGCTCACAAATGGCACACACAAGAAAGGCAGTGGGGCCGGCCTCGCAGCCTGATCTCCCCGTAGGACGCCCGGCACTGGCACCATCTCGGGCACCGCCCCCGCGCCCCCCCCCGCAGTGATGGCCACCTCTGGTCACACCCCTCATCATGGCCTTCTGTCAGCTGTCCGCACGTGGCTGGATACTTCTAGCTCATTCCCTGTGTATGCCCCCAGCTCCCCAAAGCCTGTACGGGGCCAGGCGCACAGGAGAGTCCACGTGATGAGTCCACGCAAGGCACTCTTGCCATTAATACGACCAACATGTCCTTGTACCAGAAAGTACTGAAGCTACAGAGAACTCTTGGAAATTCTGCTGGAAAAATGTTAATTCCCCACGACTTCTAGGAAAAAGGATACTTTAAAAACCTATATTTTTATTATGTATGAATCTGTGCAAATATTAAAACTCAAACACCAACTTTTCAGTTATGATTTCACAAAACAAAGTTTTAAAGAAGAGTCAACATAGTTTAGAAATCCTCCCGGTCAATGACAAAGGAAACTGGGATCGCCCTGGGCAGGCAGAGAGCTCTGTCCCCCCCAAACCTCCCCGTGGGCGGGTCCCCCCGGGCCACACTGCTGCCCCGTAGGGCGTGCTCACAAGTACTGCAGCTCTTAAAAATAATTTATCTAGTTCTTAAAAGCTATCCTGGGTTTGGGGACTTCCTGTTTCTAGCCAGCAGCCACTGGTGGCTGTGAGAGACACCTACGGCCAACCTGTCTAGCCGGCGCCTGGCCTGGTGTGTGCCACCCCACGGGGGCTGGACTGTGAGGACCCTGTGGTGTGCAGGCATGAGTGGTGGCGGCTTCCAGAGTGGGAGACCCTGTGTTTATTACTAATTTTTGAGAGAGAGAGAGAGAGAGAGAGAGAGAGCGCACGCATGAGTGAGGGAGAGTCAGAGGGAGAGGGAGACAGAATCCGAAGCAGCTCCAGGCTCCGAGCTGTCAGCACAGAGCCCGACGTGGGGCTCGAACCCACGAACCGCGAGATCATGGCCTCAGCTGAAGTCAGACACTCAACCGGCTGAGCCCCCAGGCGCCCCGACACGGTTATAAACAATGACACACTTGACTAGGAACGTCTTGACGTTCAGCCCAGGACTGACTGGCTGATTTAGGAAACACTTGCCTTAAGTGGACCGAGCATCTGTCCCAGCGCTTCGCAGCATTTCGTTCTTAACTGAGCCTGCCGAGTACCCGGCAGAGGGGCTTTTAAACTTAAAATACGAAACAGACACACTGGCTACTAACTATGGGGGGCGATCCAAACTCCTCTGGAGGCCCCACGGGATCTTAGAGCAAAGGAAAGCTGATTTTATAAACGGGACGAGGAACAGGACATGGGGGCACCAGGATGCGGCGGTGGGGGGTAGGACACGCGCGCGCAGGGGGCGGCGGG